ATGCATGCATGGACGATAAGGCAAAATGCTTAAATCAATCAATTGGAAGTAAGATACAAAATTTCTTTCTCGAGGTTCAACCTTATTCTTCATAATGTTCACAATGTCAATGCTTATGATCTTTTGGTGTCTTACCTGCAGTCGACTAGTCCATTCAGCAGCACTCACACCAAGGGTCCAATAGATTCTCAAGTTATGATGAACGCGTTAGCACGACTACATCAGAGCGACCCTCGGGACTCTTTCATATCGTCCCCATCACCAGATATCTACTCACCAGAGAACCGCTCACCAGAGAGAACAATGAACATGACGGGCCATTAAATGACATCAACAGTACACACAGGAAGCCCAAACATTGTTAATGTGACACTATATTACAGTATTTGGTGAAGTAAATCAGCAAGACCTTATCTATAAAGCTGTTTTGAATAGACTGTTAATGTGTCTTGGTCTTCACGAGTGTCGTTTATAACGACATAAGAGTCATTTCCCACTGGCACAAATACCATACTTGGGCTTCCTGTACTGTTTATAAGTCACATGACATCGATGTGGTGTTGAAGAAGTTTGTCTTGGTGGAACGCAAAGGACGACAATCTAATATATTTTTGTTAAATATTTAATAATAGATAAAATGAAGAACTAAACTAACACTTCAAGGTAATTCAATAACTAACTAGTTTAATAATAAAGTCAAAATAACAAAAATAAACTCAAAGCCTTGATATGAGCAACGCAATTAATTCTATCACTATTTATTCTTTCTACAATTTTTTATACGAAGCGTTGGCTTGTAAAACCTAACGAATATAAAGTGTGAATATTATATTTTTGTATATTTTTGTTTTGAAATAAAACCAACTGAGGGGCTTAACGGCAGACATGTTGTAATGAACAGGGATAAGAATGTTCTTCTTTGGGAAAAGAAATCTCTTGTCAGATAAAGACATTGCATTGTTCCTACCCTACGACATGGCTGTCGTAAAAACCCTCTATATCTAAAGAATAAATTTGTTTGTATTTAATTCTACGAGTTATACGGTCAGTTGACCTCACTTTTCTAAAGTTGAAGAAAGACTTGTAACCTCCTTAAAGTGAAAAGGATTATGGGGCTGAATGAGGGACGTAAGATGGTGGAGCTTTTCGATATCGTCCCCACATTTACTCTCACAATCCCATGCACGACTAGGTAGTTACAAGTCTTTCAGCTTCTTCCTTTGAACTTTGGATGTTAAAGTTACTTAGCTAGCGCTACAATGTAGTTATTGGAAAGTTATTAGCATTCTTGGATAGAATAATGGAACTTAGGGACTTCATCAAACTGACCACAGTGTTACCCTCCACCCAAACAGTCAACCCCTGCATCCTTCCCTAGATTAGAAAAAATATTAGTTAAAATAATACAGTAAAACTGACTAATGTCTTAGCAATATACCATGAACTAGATCAGGTACTCTTCATCTCATTCCTTCACAGTCACATGTCCGATTCAATATTGGTTACATGAAGGTAGGGCGACCCATGATCAATCTAATTCTCGTTATCAGGGTCGGCGCCCTAGACTACGTGCTGTATATCGCTAAATATTATATATATATATA